GAGCCCGTGGCGGACGCTGGCGCCGGTGGTGCGGTGCCGGTAGCATTACTGCCGATAATGAGACTGCAATCGAAATGCATGTCGGGAAAGGTAGGGGTAGAGGCCCTGCCAATGTTGGCACTGACGGTGGGGGTCGTCCTGGTGGTGGTAGTGGTGGTGGTGTTTGCGCCAGGGAGCTCCTACGCGGCGCTTTCGAGCTTGCTTCCGGGGGCTGCAGCAGTCGGATTTCTGTTGGCGGCGGCGGTGGACGTCCTTGTGGGGGCGTTATTATCGTGGAGGTGGCCGTTGGAGCGGTTGCGGAAGCAACTGGCGGCGGTACGGGAGATGCTGGCGGCGGTGCTGGCGGCGAGCGTCCTATCCAGGGCGCTCTGGGCTTCTCCCGGCGCTGCCACCGCCTCGGCGCTGGTGGCGGCGGCGACTGGGGCTGGCGTCGCAGCCACCACACGCCCGGCAATGTTATCCGCTGCTGCCGCCGCGGCGGCGGTTACCGCTGCCGCTGTGGCTGCAGCCGCGGTGGGGGCCTTTTTTCCGCCACCGGCGCCGGGCTCCAAGCGCCGTACAAACGGCGACAGCGACGATGAGGTGAAGCGCGCAGGGTTACAGCCGTTTGAGCAGCAGCACACGCAGGCAGCTCTGTCGCCAGCTGCCGGCGTTGACGCCACAAAGCTGCCGGTGACGCCGGAACAACCCGACTTTGGCTGGCTGGCACGGCAGCAAGCCATCCTCTCGGCCGTCAAACTGCAGATGCTGGCAGCGACGGACGTGGCTGGCATTGTACGGACGCTCTCGGACCACGTATGCGAATTGTACGACGGCTTGGGTGCGTACCTCCTCATGGTGCTGCCGGCGGAGGCAGACGATGACTGCGACGACGGCGCTGGCGGCGGACCGCCGCTGGCGGCAACTCCGCCAGTGGCGGTGGTGGTACCGCTGGTCCATTCTCAGGCGATGCGGCTGTGGATGTGGCCGGAGGAGGACGAGGCTGCCGACGGGTCTTCCCTTGTGTCGTTGAACAAACTTCCCACCCTGCTGGCCTGCCTGGAGGCCAACACCGCCGCGTACTTCGATGACGTGCTGACGGCGGCGGCGGAGGCGGAGGCGGCGCTGCGCTCCGGCGGAGGCGACGGCGAGGTGGCAGCGGCGCATCCGCCGCCGGCGGACGTTGTAATGCTTGCGGAAGACGTAGGGGCGTCGGGCTTCTTCGTGGCGCCGATGCAGTGTATGGAGCACCGGTTTGGGTTGCTGCTTGTCGCGAGGCCGACGGACGTCTTTGGCAGCGACGGTAGACAGCCGCCGTCGCCGGCACCTCCTCTGGACGAGGACCTCTTTGCGCTCAGCTGCTGCCTCGCGGACGAGCTGGCAGCGGCTCTTTACGTGAAGCACATGCAGGTGTGGGCGGCTGGGGCTGGACCAAGGTGTCGGTGCCGGCGGTGTAGTTGTATACTAGTATCGTAGCCATCAGCTGGGGGGGCCCGTAGGCACACCGCAACCCCTAGGTGAATGTAGAACATGTCGCCGCCGCACGACATGTCTCTTTCATGTCTCCTTCATGGCCGCAGCAGCGGCCGCGGCCGCGACTGGAGCCGTTATGTATGTATGTATATACGTATGTACTTTGTATGCACTGTGTGTACGTATGTATGTACGTATGTGTGTACGTACGTATGTATGTACTGTCTATGTACTGTCTATGTACGTAGGTAGGTAGGTGGGTAGGTGGGTAGATAGGTAGGTTGCAGAGTGGGGGCTCATTTGAGAGAGCCTTGGGCCAAGCCATGCAGGGTCTCGACAAGTGAGGGCCTAGGGACCTGTGAAAGGTGCGATATACGCGCTAAGAGGATGTCTACGGCTGTCACACACACGCATGCCCATGGCCGCCCGGCTTTCACGGACACCTCCCCACATGCGGCCGGAACTTGTAACTCGTTAAGTAACATACGTACGGGGCGGCATCTCCCATCATACCATCGTGCAGGCGGAGCTGGCGGTATCGGAGCTGCTGATGGCTGACATCATGCCGTACGATGCCGTACAGCTCCTGAAGCGCCGGGTGCAGCGCAGCCTAGCGGCGCCCTCTGCGCCCTCTACCTGCGCGGGTACGCCGCGGCATGCACCCACCGCCATCGCCGTACTCGACGTCGGCGCCGCCACCGACGGTACTGCCAACTGCCAGACAGATAACCTGCACGTCAGTGATTCACCCCTGCTGACGGCGGCGACAGTGCCGCCGCCGCCACCGCCCACACGGGCGTTGTCAACGCCGCTGCTGCACGTGAACCCGGGGGTGTCGTCAGTACGGCAAGGGGTGCCGGAGCCAGTGCCGCCCCGCCGCACGCTTTCAAACGTACAAATCCCTAGATGGGCCGCTACTGCTACCGCTACTGCTACTGCTACTGCTTCCACCGGATCCCTTACGAAGACATTGTCGTACGGTGGCGGCATGTCTAGACTCCGCTCCCCTCGCATCTCCAGCCTCACCGCCCCCGGCGGCCACGTCGGCATGTACGGCGCAGCCGCCGCCTCACACCGGATAGCAGCCAGCCCTGCGGGCAGGACCCTGTCGCTGGGTCGCACTGGAGGCCGGACATCCTGGGTGTCGTACGCCTGGAACGCCGCCGTGGCGGCAACGGCCGTAGGCTTGTCTCCGCCGCAGTCTCCCGACACGCGGCAGCCGGCAGCTCGCTGGGGACCTTCGTCGCCGTTGCTGGCGTTCCCGCCGACGCAGGGTATTTTTGGCATGTTGTCGACGGCTCCGTCGGCGGCGGCGTCAGGGCCTGGCGGGACTGCGACGGCCGTTGGCGAGAATGGGGCCAGTGGGGTTTCAGAGCCGGGGCATGATGCTCCTTCTGTCGTTGCCGCGGCAGCTGCGGCGGCAGCCACCTGTCCAGATGGACACCACGACATGCTGTCCGCGGCGGCGGCAGCGCCGGCGCTAGAGCCGGTACCGACAGCCGGCGACGGAGCAATATCGGGGCCGCCGTTGCAGCCGCCTGCGGGTGCCGTACATCCGCTGGTTCCAGCCGTGCCTAACGACACAAAGGAGGCCGCTGCCCCGCGGCCTGCATTCCTTCCCTGGACTCGTACGGCAGCCGGTGCTACCTTTGGTATCTCATGCGCGCCGCTGCCGGGGATTGATGAGTCGTACGGCAGCGGTGAGGCGCCAGTCGATGGCGCCGGCGGTGCTGGGGACGCCAGCGCTGGCGACGCCGGTGCTGACGTCAATATCACGGCAAGCGATGACGACAATGACAACGATGACTACGACATCAGCAGTGAAGCAAGCGGCGGCAGCGGTGCCGACGCCGTCAAGAAGAGCACTGCGTCCAGCGGCGATCTTCTGGGGTTGCTGTCGCCGCGGCCGCCGCCGAATCGCCAGCAGCGTCGGCGCATCCAACTCACCGCCAGCAGCAGCAGCTTCAGCGGCGGAACTTACGGCAGTGGCAGCCGTGGTACCGTCGCTGCTGCTGCTGCAGCGGCGGCGGCGGCGGCGGCGCAGCCGTTGCTGTCGTCAGCCCGGAACCACCCGTTGCACACCGGGGGTTTGGGCCAAACCCTCCCCGCCGGCGATCTGCTTCGCCCTGTGGTGTACGACACGGCAGCGCCGCCGGCTCCGCATCTGCGGCCGCCGGTGCTGGCCCCGCTGCTGAACCGAACCTTATCGGCTGCTGCACCCGTCACCACCCCCTGGGCTGCCACCACTGCCGCCACCGCCACCGGCGCCGTCACCGCCAGCGGCGCTTTGCCTGCTCCATCTCCTCCCTCCACCACCATGTCCTCGCGGCTGCACTCCTGGCGCGCGCACAGCTACACAAATGGCTCCGGCGGAGGGCTTGGACTTGGACTTGGACGACACCAAGGTGGGACGCAACCCGCGGATCAATCCTATCTCACTACTCGATCATACGCGATAAGAATTGCGCCATAAAGAGCCAACTACTGGCTGACGTCCAGAACCGCAAACTGCTGGAGGGAGTCCAAAGCCGCGATGGAGAGGAGGGGGCTCCAGGGGGCCGCATAGCCGCTTGAGAGTTGTACCCTTTACGGTGCCAGGTCTCGACTAGGAGATGAAGGATCAGCTGGGAGAAAGGAAACGGGGCAGGGGGAGGGGGAGAGAAGGGGAGTGCCGGGAATGGGCAGGTGATAATTTTCCATTGATTACGCGGATGGTGTATGTCATGGTTGGTTGGTCGGTTGCATGTATGTATGTATGTACCCCGCGCAGTTGGTAGTCCGAGCAGTAACCAAGGTCTCGTGTCGAGGACCCACAGCAGCAGCGGACAGGCGCCCGTGGCGGTGGCTCCATGGAGCCCGAACACGGCGCTATGGCGCAGCTGCGGCGGTGGCGGCGGCGGCGGCGCCAGGGACAGCGGCAGCATCAGCGGTGACGGCAGCGCCGGCGGTGATCACGGCAACGTTACCGCCGCTGCCGCCGTCAGCAGCACAACGGTTGCTGCCGCGGATGCCGCCTCCGCCGCGATCACAGCCGCCGGGCCTGTCGTACTGGACGTGCCGTACAAGCAGTGGCACAAGAACGTTACCGTGCTTTTCGCGGACATAGGTACGCGGTACACCTGTCCTTCCCTCCTTCCTTGTGCCACCGTCCTCTTTCGATGCCCTCTTCCCTTCCCTTTTCACCATCCCTTGCATTGCTTTCCGTCCGGACCTCC